TTGTTTAATTTTTTATATCAATTCATAAATATTTTTTATATTTAGAATGCTTGTCTAATTAGATTTTCTTTTATTAAAAAAATTCATAATAAATTGATAAATAGGGAATTTGTATTAAAGTTTTATTGAAACCCAGTTAAAAATTATTTTATTTTCTTCAAATATATAATGTTTAATTATGTTTTCTTTTATTAAAAAACTCTTAATAAATAGATAAACACAACTTACATGTGATAGAGTTTTAAAGAAAATAAAACAGGTAATTTGAGGTGGACTTCTGTAGAAATTATTTTATTTATTTTTAAATATATCCATAATAAATATATAAATACAGGTTACATGTGATAAAGTTTTATAAAAAATAAAATAGCTAATTTGTAGCAGAGTTTTATAGAAATTGCTTTATTTTTAAAAAATATTTTCTTGCTTAATTATATTTTACTTTATTAAAAAATTCATAATAAATAGATAATGTCATAGAGTTTCGTAGAAAATAATTTGTGCAGAATTTATAGAAAATTTTTTATTTTATTTAAATATATTTTTGTCTAATTAAATTTTCTTGTGTTAAAAAAACCCATAATAAATAGATAAATTGGTAGAATGTGTTAGAGTTTTATAGAAACTCTATTAAAAACTCTTTTTATATCAATTAATAAATATTTTTTTATATTAGTAATTATTTTCTAATTAGATTTTCTTTTATTAAAAACTCATAATAAAAGGTAATTTGTGTTGGAGTTTTAGTAAAATTATTTTATTTTTTATATTAATTAATAAATATTTTTAATATTAATAATTCTTGTCTAATTAGATTTTCTTTCATTAAAAAAACTCATAACAAATAGATAAATATATAATTTGCTTCAAAGTTTTATGGAAACTCTTTAAATATGTTATTGTATAATGTGATAGAGTTTATTGGAAATAAAATAGCTAATTTGTGGTACAGTTTTATACAAATTATTTTATATCTTTAAATATATCACAGTCTATTTAGATTTCCTTTTATTAAAAAACTTATAATAAAATGTGATTTGTGGTAGAGTAATAAAGAAATTATATTATTTTTTCTATCAATTACTAAATATTTTTTATATTAGTAAATTTTTTCTAATTAGATTTCATTTTATTAAAAAAAAGCTCATAATAAATAGATAAATAGTTAATTTGTGTTAGAATTTTATTGAAACTCTTTTAAAAACTCTTTTTATATCAATTATATATATTTTTATTTTTATTTTGAAATAAATTTTTAGATAATTTGAATTTTATTAGGTAATTTTTTATATGAATTTTTTTATGTAATTTCAAATAATTTTTTAGGTTATTTGAATTTTTTTTTAGGTAATTTGTAATTTGAATTTTATTAGATAATTTGAAATAATTTTTTAGGTAATATGAATTTTATTAGGTAATATTTTTTTCAATTCATAAATATTTTTTTTATATTATTAAATAAATACTGAAACACATATTTGAATTTTATTAGATAATAATTTGTGGTAGAGTTTTAGAAAAATTATTTTATTTTTAATATCAGTTAATAAATATTTTTTTATATTAATAATTCTTGTCTAATTAGATTTTATTTTATTAAAATGCTCATGATGAATAGATAAATAGGTAATTTGTTTTAGAATTTTATAGAAACTCTTTGAAAAAGTTATTTTATTTTCTTTAAATATATCCTTGTGTAATTAGATTTTCTTTTAGTATAAAAATCATAATAAATAGATAAATATAGGTTAGATGTGATAAAGTTTAAAAAAAAATAAAATAGGTAATTTGTGGTAGAGTTTTATATAAATTATCTTATTTTCTTAAAATTTATTCATAATAAATAGGTAAATACAGGTCACATGTAATAGAGTTTTATAGATTATAAAATTATTAATTTGTGGTAAAGTTTTATAAAAATTATTTTATTATATTTAAATTTATTTATGTCTAATTAGATTTTATTTTATTATAAAATTCATAATAATTTTTTTTTTCTTTAATAAACTCATAATAAATAGATAATGTGATAGAGTTTTATAGAAAATACAATTGTTAATTTGTGATAAATTTTATAGAAATTCTTTTATTTTCTTTAAATATATTCTTTTCTAATTAGATTTTCTTTTATTAAAAAAACTCATAATAAATAGATAAATAGGTAATATGTGTTAGAGTTTTATAAAACTTTTTTAAAAACTCTTTTTATATCAATTAATAAATATTTTTTTATATTTATTGTCTAATTAGATTTCTTTTTAGTAAAAACTCATAAATTTATAAATAGGTAATTTGTGTTAGAAACTCTTTTAAAATCTCTTTTATATCAATTAATAAATATTTTTTTTATATATATAATTTTTGTTTAAATAGATTTCTTTTTATTAAAAAACTAATAATAAATAGATAAATCAGTAATTTGTGTTGAATTTTATAGAAACTCTTTAAATGTATCATTGTCTAATGTGAATTATGTGATAGAGTTTTATTGAAAATAAAATAGTGATAGAATTTTATAAAAATTATTTTATTTTCTATAAATATATCATTGTCTAATTAAATTTTCTTTTATTATTAAAATCATAATAAATAGATAATGTGATAGAGCTTTATAGAAAATAAAATTACTAATTTGTAGCAAATTTTATTTTCATTATAGAAATTTATATTAAAAAATAAAAAATAGTAATTAGTTATCATTGTCGTAAAATTTTAAATACCTTCAAATTGATAGACCATTAGTTCCCAACCACCAACTTAGATAGCCCCTCCTGAGCTAAGGACTGTTCATATATTTTACTTGAGAGTCCTTTGCAAGGTAATTAAGCCCTCGTCTTCTTCCTCCAGAATTATGGAGGACAGAAAAGGGCAGGAGAATTTTGATAGTAATTACACATGATGTGCGATTCGCTCAACTTATTGGTCAACGCCAGCATGCAAAACGATATTTATAGGGTCGCAAAGGATGACCAGTAAGCCTAATTATATGATTCTTGCTTTGTTCTGGAACATAAAAGTAAAGAAAACAAAATAACAATAATGACTCAAAATAATAATAAATTATGAATGAACCAAAAAAAAAAAAAAAGCTAAAAAAAAAAGACTCACAATCCAAAGTAAATTTAACAAATCAATCACTTCTAAACATCAATTAGAAAAAGAAAATTAAAATAAAACAATTCATCTCCTTCTAAACATCAATTAGAAAGAGAAAAATAAAAATAAAACAAAAGAAAATAATAATAATAATAATGCTTCTAAAAAGAAAAAAGTAAAGAAAAAAATTAACAATCCAACCTTCTCAATACAACAAATTAAGAATAACAAATTTTGAACCATCCAAAGTATAATTACAAATACTAAAATAAAAAGAAAATTTAAAGAAAAGAGAAGAATGATACTTCTGGAAAAGCAAAAAAAAAAAAAAATTATTAGAAAGAGAAAAATAAAAAAAAAGAAAAAGTAAAAAAAATTAACAATCCAACCTTCTCAATACAACAAATTAAGAATAACAACAAATTAAGAATAACAAATTTTGAACCATACAAATTATAATTACAAAGAGTAAAATAAAAATAAAAGCTAAAGAAAAAAGACGAATGATACTTCTGAAAAGAAAAAGAAAAAGAAAAAATAATAATAATAATAATTAGAAAGAGAAAAATAAAATAAAACAATTCATCTACTTCTAAACGTCAATTAGAAAGAGAAATATAAAAATAATAATGCTTCTAAAAATAAAAAGTAAATAAACAAATTTACAATCCAACCTTCTCAATACAACAAATTAAGAATAACAAATTTTGAACCATCCAAAGTATAATTATTACAAAGAATAAAATAAAAATAAAAGCTAAATAAAAAAAAGAATGATACTTCTGAAAAAGAGAAAAAAAAACAATAATAATTAAAAAGATAAAAATAAAATAAAACAATTCATCTACTTTTAAACATCAATTAGAAAGAGAAAAATAAAAATAAAACAAAAGATAATAATAATAATAATGCTTCTAAAAAGAAAAAGTAAAGAAAAAAATTAATAATCCAACCTTCTCAATACAACAAATTAAGAATAACAAATTTTGAACCATCCAAAGTATAATTACAAAGAGTAAAATAAAAATAAAAACTAAAGAAAAAAGAAGAATGATACTTCTGAAAAAGGAAAAAAAAAAACAATAATGACTCAAAATAATAATAAATTAAGAATGAACCAAAAATAATAAAATAAAAAAATGAAGAAAAAAATCAACAACTTCTAAACATCAATTAGAAAGAGAAAATAAAAATAAAACAAATCAACTACTTCTGAACGTAAATATGAATTAGAAAGAGAAAAAAATAATAAAAACATAATAATAATGCTTATAAAAAGAAAAAGTACAGAAAAACTTACGAGACCAAATATAAAGAGAAACGAAAAAATATGCACACAAAATGCCTGGCCTAATATATATATATAGGCTATATGTGATAAAGTTTTATAAAAAATAAAATAAGTAACTAAAATTTTATTAGGTAATTTGTATTAGAGTTTTATAGAAACTCTTGTTTTAAAATTTTATTAGGTAATTTGTGTTAGAGTTTTATAGAAACTCTTTTTATAAAAACACTTTTTATATCAATTAATAAATATTTTTTTTATATTAATAAATAAATATTGAACTAATGAAGCAATTAATAAATATATTTTTTATATTAATAAATAAATACTGAAACACGAAACACAACATTTAATAATAGTAGATATATATATATATATATATATATAATGTATATATTTCCGTACGGTTCAGACAAACAAGTTGTAAACGAGAAGGGACTCACCTAACCCCTCTTTACAGTCCGGCCCGGCAAGTCATCGGTTTGAAAAATTCGGGCCGACATGAGTGGCCCACTTCAGTGACTTCACCACAAACCCCCTAATCTACATAAAAAGCCAGCTAACCGGCACGCGTCAACGAGGCGCGTGGCCCCGACACCATCAAGTACCCAGGCACGAGTGCTGAAGCAACACCGGTAATAAAGCGCTCACTCTCTCTCTCTCTCTCCAGCCGCGTAAATCTTGCCATTGTTGAACTTCCACACTCCAGTATCTCTACTTTGTTCTTGTCTCCCTCTCTCTCTCTCTCTAACCACACTCAAGATCTACTACTACTCTCTCTCTCTCTAAATCTCTCTGTAATAAAACCTCCCAAACTTCCCTCTCAGATCTCCAGCGCATTCCATGGATCTACAAAATCAGTTGCATTGTTGTTTCTGAGCTAGGGCTTACTGTATCGCACGTTTCCTTGGCCAATCTCACACATTTGCGAAGCCATGCAATGTTTTGTTCTGAGTTCAGACGGTGATGATGAACTCCGCCGACGGTGGAACTCAGGGGACGTCCGGCGAGACTCTGTTGAGGTGTCCAAGCTTGGCGGTTTCTGATTCTGAGGATGTTGTATGTGAATTTGGTTCTGAAAAGAGAAGATGCGAACTCTGATTCTTCTTCCTCTTCTTCCCCTGCTCACTCTGGTCTCCACTAGTTTCTTATTTTTCACGGAAGGTAACCTTTACTAGTTTCAACGATTACTCTATTTGTTTGCTTTTGGTTACTTTTTGATTTTTAGCTTTGCCTTTTGTTTGGTTACTGGGAAAATGGGGAAAAAGAACAGAAAAAAGAAAGCAAATTGCGAATTTCCGCTTTTTCGTTATTTTTAATTTAAAAACTCGGTCAATGCAAGTCAAATAGTTATTTTAGGTTCAATTGACTCGATTTGTCTTCTGCCAATTACAATTATAAGTTTCTGATTTTTATTTTTTCCTACATGTTATTGGTAATTTCATATTTTTATTCGAACCATCAGTATGGTTTTTGTGTTTTGATATTTGGGCTAATTGTTGGAGTTTATTCATGAAAAAGAAATAAAATTGTTGGGGTGTGAAACAACGGTTATGCAGTTGAAAGATATAGTCCTGTGCAATTACCATGACGTGTGTGAGTTATCAGCCAGGGAGAAAAAAGGAACTACACCTATTTCTGTATTAAAATAAAACATACAATAGGATTATTTTCATGTTTCATTTGTAATACTAGGGTAATTGTAGACATTTTTTTTGATAATTAATTCTAGAATTAATAGTGAATGTCAGGAGCTTTAGTATTAATAGTGGGTTTTCTCAATGCCTTTGGTGTTGCAGTATATGTTTGTGGGATTTACATCTTTAACAGATTTATCATGATTTCTGAACTTTATTTATTTTTGATAAGTATGATTTCTGAATTCTTACTCGGTTTAGTTATCACATAGACAAATCTTGTATAATTAACAAATAGTGGGAAGAGCACACATGCAATTAATTTGCTGTCAGTGTGGAATTAGTGGATGGCTCATACTTGTTCATCCTGCTCCGTCTTTCTTATTCATTTTTTCATCATTGGTCACATATTGGCTTACTTATTCTTATTTATCAAAGTGCATCATGACTTAGCATGGTATTGTTCAATACTAGATGTTGTAACAGTTATTGGAAAAGAGGACGGGATAAGATTAGTAAAACTTTTATTAGGAGGAAAAAATAGTTAGCGCCTATGCACCCCTAGTAGGACTAGATGAACACATTAAAACACAATTTTGGGAACATATGGATCAATCACCCAAGTTGGTAACCGTTCAAAAGAAGAGTGGGTTTAGGTTAAAGATGATCTTGTTGGAGGAAAATTTCTAGTTATAGAATATGTTTTGGATGTCAACCCTTTTGGAGAGAGCTATTTGGGTGAACATATGTGGGAGATTGGGCCTAGGGAAAGAGATGACCTCAGTAGAATAGCCTGTGTCCATTATGTTGTCTTGGGAACACCTGCTTGTGGTGTGCTGATTTAATGGTACCATGCAGTATTTTGTATGTGTAGATTAATTTTGTGGAATATCTTTGTGTATGCATCCTTGTGCTGACATGTTATGCTTATGACTGTTGTGTTAGGCTGTGTTTTGTGTAGTGTTGATCATGTTATTAGGTACTTGTGATGCATGGTTAAGCTGCATGCATGTGCTGGATGCGTTGTTGCGGATAATGGGTGATTGTGCTTATGTGGTGTTAGTAATATGTGCTTCGTGTGCGTCTGGGTTAGTTGTTATGCATTGATAGTTCTGTGAAAGTTCTTTCACTGTATGTTAAGTTTTCCATTACTCGCTAGATTAGGAGGAAGTAGGGTAGGGTTGATGAAGCAAAGAACACAAATAAGCATGTTGGGTTAGATCATGGGATGCCTACTGGCATTGTATGCTCATTCCTACTTTCTTCAAGATAAGTGGAGACTAAAGGAATGCACAGACAAGCAAATGAAAAGAGAGAAAGAAGGGATGAAGGAAATGGTGATAAGTTCTGGTGTCTGGTTGAAATCTTTTAAAAGGTTAAAAATGTAAATGAAGACTAGTTTCTATCTATGGGACTTGAGGATTAATGAAACACTGTTATAGTAGGATTGTTGATAACAAAGGAATTCTAACACCCTGATTCTGGTTTTTGGAGATTGGGGTATGACACAGCAACCTCTTTATGAGTTCTTGTATATTTAAGGAATAGGTAACAAAGTCCAACATACAACTTCATAGATACGTTAATCTATTGCATTTAATTTTAATGAACAGAAATTTAAAGGATGATATGAGAGCCTTTTCTAGTGTATAGTGGCTGTATTTATTGTTTTATCTTTGTGTCTGCCACCTGACCTATATCACATTTAAAACCTGTCACGTGTAGAAGAATATTTTAGTTATATAGATTTTAGGAATCCATCAATGTATTTTCCATATTTATCACTTGTATTCTTTCACCTATAATTAGTGGTGGTCATTGTAAACAAAACTAAGAAAGAATATAATAAAAGTGATGTGGCCCTTTGGGCTTTGTGTGCCGTGGTGGTTGAACCACATATGTTGTTTCATTCTTAATTGCTCTCTTAAATCTTTTATTTTTTTATAAACAGAATCCATTCATGTACCAACAGTAAGGCAAAATATAAGGAAAAGCTAAAAGATTAGCAAGGAAAGAGATTTCATTTCTTTGGAAGGAAGGTATAGAATTAGCACTATTACCATGTTCCAATGAGATTTTTTTTTTTTTTTTTTTTTTTGTATAAAAAATAATGGTTGAATCGGCAGTAAACTAGGAGACTAAGTATATGTGCAGTAATGGAAGCACTGAAGGATTAAGAATCTCTACATCATAATTATTTAAACAGCAAGACATATACTATACCTTGCATTAAGATGCATACTGACTTTTACTCTTACATGTAGTAAGATACTTGCATCAAGATCATAAATCAGTCTTATTTTGCTATTCTCCTAACACTCCCCTCCAATTGGCATATGGAGATTTTAATTCAAGTGTCCAACTTGAAACTAAATATGAAGTTGTTTAGAATCCGAGACGAGTTGATCTGAATGTCACACCTCGATTCTCAGGACATGATAAAATAAAATAATAGAACAAAAAAAACAATCTTATCTTCTATAACCATGATCCTTCTCCAGTTACAGAGTTAAAACGTAGTACATTCTTATAAACTTATTATGCAAAAAAATTGAATCTGCAAGTGAGTTCAGGAAATTCGTCGTATTCCTGACTTAGGCTAAACCTGAAAAATATTGGGGTAAGCACAACCGCTCAGTAGGAAAAGTACTCTAAATCGATATATACAACAAGATAGAATACTAATTATACTTACAAGCAAAACTGAAATATATATTAAACCAAAAATGCATAAAATCCAAACCCAAGTAGTAACTCAAATCCAACACATGAAGTCAAGCAAAATAATCCCTATCATGTATACCGCACACACCAACGGATTCCTGGTCATTCTCACGGCAGACCGCTCACCCCCAACTAAAATTTCTTCCGGCTATACGTGTACGAGCACACAATGAAGCAAATAGAAAAAACAGAAGTCTTCTTATAGTAGTAAAGAAGACTGAAATTTCTCTAATCACCATTGGAGCCTATATTTCTAAAGGAAATCTGGGAAAAGCCTGTAGAGAAGTTTACGATCTAGTTTTAATTCAAATTGATATTGATTATGCCTTGGTTACAGCAGATATAATGGACTGTCCCTTTTATAATACTTCTATTAATGACACTTGGCTTCTCCTAAAATGACATTTGGAATTCCCACACAACATTAATAAAATTTTACCACTTCCCTAAGTAGACACTTAGTAGTTCCAAAGCTTAATTACTTAGTAACCAAAACAAGAACGATTCTTTGACTCTTTTTTCCCCATGACACTTTTCAAAGCACCATTAATTATTTGCATCAGATCCTTCTCCTTGAAGAAAACTTGCCCTCAAGTTTGAAACAATTTACCATGATGAATGAAGAACCAATTAAACCCTTCCATCCTTTCTTTCTTCCTTTCCTTACTCGAACAAAGCACAATAATATTCTTTTACCAACAAGGAACACCTTTTCATGAACTTTCTGAGCTCTTTCTTTAAATTTTGAAGATTTCCAAAACCTGTTTGAACACAAATCGGGATCCAAGACTTGAATCAATCTGATTTTTGCATTGGAACGACACCTGGCCATATGTCGCGCCAAGAATCCTTTCCAAATTAAGTCATGAATTCCATATTCATGAACTTTTCAACTCCATCAACAAATAAGCTTCATTTCTAACCAAAGTATTCTAGTAAACTTCATCTGACGTACTGTCTATGGCACCAGTTAGCGTTGCAAATCCAATGGTCTTATCTTCAAAAGTTCCACCTATTTGTTTGTTAATGAACATAAGTTCTGAAATTTCTGCAACTTGGGAATCAGCTTGAGATATTTGCTTCAATTTCTTCAATGGTTCCCACTTTCTCACCTCAAATCCACAACATGCAGATTGAATAATGACAGCTGCCTCGGCTTCTGACATGTTACTGGCTGCTTCTTCAAACTTCTCTTCTACCATCTTTTTTTCCTTCAAAATTCTCTTCATTGTCGTCAAATCTGGAAGCGATGACCTTTTGGACTCTATTGGTCCTTAGGTTCAACCTTCGTTTTTTGTATTAGGGATGCGTTCCCCTTTTGAAAGCTTTTCTAATCAAATTTTACTTATCAAAAAAAAAAAAAAAAAACTGGAAGCCATGAAGTTGAATTTACCCGCATGATCTCATCTTCTTCATTTATACTTCCAAAAGATTCATCAAATGTTGAGGTGACATCAGCAAAGTTCCCAAGATATTCATCAACCAAGAGTCATTTTCCATTGATAATGTGATTATTTACAACTCTTGGGCACTTGGCAGATTTGAATCTTGAATCGTCACATGTGTAGGATCAAAATTCAGGTTCTTCAGTACGTTTCACCATTGATATCCATGTGTTTTGTGATCTGGCAGAACTCTGTTTTGGACTTCTATACATCTTATGCTGCTGATTTCTTTCTCCATTAGTTTGTTCTGTCCAATATCCGCAGTCATATGCATCCATTTGTTGAGCCCTTTGTCTCCCAATGTCAGAATTAAGAGGTGAAATGATTCCATATTGTTCTAATAAAGTCCTTAATCGAGAAATTTGATTTTGTAGATTTTGAAAGTCTTCTTGTGTGGCTATCTTGCTTCCTTGCCTAGCCATAGATCAGCAGTAATCACAAATCTTACTAGAAGTCCCTGATACCACTTGAAGCAAATAGAAAAAAAACAAAAGTCTTCTTATAGTAGTAAGGAAGACTAAAAATTCTCCAATCACTGTTGGAGCCTAGATTTCTTATTCTAGAAAAGTTTAGGATAATAACTCAAATTGATATTGATTCTGAATTGGTTACAACAGGTATAGTTGGCTGTCCCTTTTACAATACTACTATTAATGGCACTTGACTTCTCCTAAAATGACTTTTACCACTTCCTTCAGTAAACACTTACTAGTTCCACAGCTTAATTATTTAGTATCCAAAGCAAGAATGACTTTTGACTTTATTTTTTCCATGACACTTTCCAAAGCACCATTAATTATTTGCTTCGCAAACATATTTCTAACAATACAATACAATTCACATGATCCAAATAATACAATAAGACAAGTAAACACAAATTTTAATTTAGTTCCATCATTTTGCACATATAGATCGAGACTAATTCCCCTACCTTGTGTTGAATAACTCCACAGGCAAACGTCATTCATCACCGACCAACCACTCTACAAGCTCCACTCCACAGTTTGTAAAATGAATTTTCTTTCTTTTTCTTATTCTCTCAAGCAATTAGCAATCTATCAATCTTGGATCTAATTTATAGGTAAATGCAGAATATAAAAAGTGATGTGATTAATGTATAAGGAATATATAGAGTCATGTAACGTCTTAGGTCATTATATAGCAAGAAACTCAAGAGTCAAGTCTTGTAATAATTGCATGACTCTCCATATTACTTTATTTAACTCGCAATAATAGCCCATTAAACCATGCATTAAAACACACTTATCATTGCTAATTCCCACTCCACGTAACACGGACACGACATGGACACGCCAAAATTTTTAAAAGTAGGACATGGGTATGGCGTGGACACGGCTATATATAAATATGAATTTTTATTTATATATACATCTATTGAGTAATAATATTATAAAACTTTAATTAATAAGTCATTATAGTGACTTTTATATCATATATACCCTTATTATACTACTTTGTCATAATAGTGTTTTGTTTTAAATGAACAAATATCATTTTATGATTCACTTGATGCCAATTTTTCTTAAAGAAAAAAGTTGAACACTTTAGAATGTGTTCATATTACCGGGAAGACTGTGTTAGAAAGTGTCTACCTAAGTGTCTGTAAGTGTCGGTGAAGTGTCCGGAAGTGTTGGCGGAGTGTCCAAAATAATATATTTAAATTTTATTTATGGACATGTATATGAAGTGTCGGACACGTGTCCGAGGAGTGTCGGTGTCCTTCGTAGAAGTGTCCAATAAAGGTAAGTATTCTCACTCACTAATATATATATATCAAAATACACATTTATATTATTAATTTTAATATTTCAAATTACCGGTCATCACACCAAAGATCCGAAACAAGTTGATCCTGAGATCTGAGATGAGTAGATCCGCAGATCCGAGACTAATAAATCTTATCACAAAATTCAAGCAAGACAGAGGAGAGCCGAATGAGTCTAGAGTAGGGTATGATAAACCTACTCTGATAAGATTTAAGAGAGAAATTATGAATAAAACAACAAATAATGTCACTAATAAAATCATAATTCAATTCTATGTAATAACATTAAGCCAAGCATTTTAGCAAACTAAATAACCCCCCGACATGTATACCGCGCATGGCAGTAAATTTTCGGTCATTCTCCGGCGCACCACTGACCCCAACTAAAGTTTCGGAACAAATCTCAGTCTTTCAACTGAAGGGCTTTCACTCCCTACCTATTTTCTGCGGGTAATACATGTACGAGCACACGCAAATGAAATCCACCCATGAATCTTACACAAGATACATCTCTTTGTACCATTTAACAACAACATAATCATGCAACTTCTATACAGGAATTCACAAGATACACATTTTCTCTTCCGAACACTGTTAATTTGATCCCATCTATTTGCATATATAAAAATAGAGTAAATCCCTACCTTGTGTTGAAATACTCCACAAGATAAGAGTGGGCCCTGTAAGCCTTCCCGTCCCTGACCAACCACTCTACAAGCTCCACTCCACAATTTGTCTTGGGTCTAATTTATAGGTGAATTCAATATATATAAAGTTATGTAATTAATGTGTAAGGAATATAAAGAATCATGTAACTGTAGTAAAGTCTTAGGTCATTAAGTGACAAGCAACTCAAGAGGTGAGTCTTGTAGTAATTGCATGACTCTTCATATTATTTTATTTGACTCGAAATAAAAGTCCATTAAACCATGTTTCACACCAAAGGTCACACTCTTGAAGTCATAGACCATTTATCTGTTTCTTTTTTATATCAACGATGATTATATATTATCAGCTTTAATATTTCAAAATTATGGGTTCTCATATTCTCTCTTAGTTTTGTTTACAATGACCACCTCTATTTAAAGGTGAAGCAATACAAGTGATAATTATGGAAAATACATTGAGGGAGGATTCCTAAAATCAATCCCATAAATCACTCCTATGAATATTCTATCAAGGCTTAAATCACTCCTCTTTTCTTTTTTTTTTGATAAGTGGCTTAAAATACTCCTATCAGTATATCCTCCCAACAGATTCAAATCTAAATCATTGTTGAACACTGAATCTTCACCTTGACAAGAAGGAACATCAAGGAGCACATTGAGGTTGAGGAGGAATTTATAATAATGTTTATACTGTGATAGTTTCATGCAATTTTATCGTGTTTTTTCTTCAAGTCATCCAATAATGAAAATTTCTAGTTGAAAAGGGAAGCACAAATCTTTATGAATATAATCTATAGGATGGTGTGGAAAATCCAATGTGCAGAGAGTCATTTGGTCTTTACTTTCTTTATAGACCACATGTTGTAACCCTTGTACTTTCTCTTCATACATTTAGTTTGTAAATTTATTTTATTCGTAAACATTTTTGCAACTAATGCTGGAAAATTGTTGAATTTGGGAAAATAACTTTGGAAAATTTTAAACTAAAAAAGACTTTTATGTCATATTCTACTCAAGAATTTCAAATTGATGTAAAGGTTGCTTTCCAATCTTAAACTTGTACTATACTGATGCATCTTTTTGAGGATAAGAAATTAGAAATTACTTTGGAATTTCTTCTCTCTTTTTTTTTTTTTTCCTCTTCTATCTCGCCCGCATTCGAATGCAGATATTATAGCTGACTATGGTTTTTATTGGTTTTATTTCTGGGCAGATCAGTATATATTCAGTTGGTTTACGATTGGTCCAACTTAACTCCATCATGAAATTAATTTTTTATTTCATTTCAGCAAATCTAGAAATTGAATTCCCGTGCTCTTATGACAAATGTCTGTATCTTTAAAAATGTAATGCACAGGAAACATGCAGTAGGAGGTGGTGCACTAATGTGCATGTGCTTGCACTATTGCACGTGAGTCTACATGCATGTATTTGGTATGTGATGAAGTAAAACTAACCAAAGATAAATTAATATGCATAAAAATATGAGCTTTTCAACAAGGGGATAGTATGTCTAGCAGTTCAACCTTACAACACCTTTAAGCGGCTGTTACAATCCATGCCATTATGCATCAAACATGCAAATACATTGCTATTTACATGGCAAGAAAGGCTTACATGTCCTGCATACATTATAGTATTGGTAGTGTATTATGTTTTTAAGGTTAAATGCCCACAGTCCCATTAGATGCTGAAGTGCTGAACATAAACAAACATCAAAGGGCATTTTCAATCGCTCTGAGTAAGTTCTATGTCTTCTCACTTAAATAATATCAGCAATAGGTTTTATTTTAATATCCGAAAGAATAATATTAGCAAAAGCAATCTTTATAGCTGGGCATCTGTTCGTATGGGGTTTACTCTTATAATGCGCTCTCTCTCTCTCTCTTTCTCAGTGATAATCCCCACTCATCAAGTCTCATGTCTCATTTCATCTTCTTCTTATATATATATATATATTTTACCTGGATGATGTATATACATGTGAATAGGTAACACTAAAGTTGTACTTTTTTTTTGCAGTGAAGTCAATGTCAATGAGTGCATGGCTTGCTCCACAATCAGGTGATACGAGACACCTTCAACCTTTTTTCGTGCCATCGATTGTACCTGCACCTTCTCCAACAAATCAAGGTACTTGCTGTATTCATAATCTGAATTCTTTGTGATTCCCACTTTCTAGCTTTTCTCTGATGCTGAAATCCTTCTTCTTTAGATCGTTCTGCTGGTCCTAGTAGTATTACCTTGCCAAGACATCATCATCATCATCACCATCATCAGGTGAAAAGTCATGCGGCTTCCCCAGCTCCTTCTGCAGTACCAGGTATTATTTTGGTGTTATTATATAGCTATGTGGTCACCCCATTCTTAGTCTTTTTCTTTTGATTCCGTTGATAGTTTCAATCAAATAATAAAAGAATTTAGCACCATGTTTCCTAATACAAATAATCAGATGTAGAAAGTGAATAGAAAAGTTGAGCCACAATGCTAGGTGTGAAAGTTCAATTTAATCATAAAAGAAGTCCCTTTGATTTAGTTTCTCTTCGTTCATACCTTCCTTGTAGATCGTAGACTATCTTGGCTTGCGTTAGAATCAAATATTGGAAGTGGAAGCCAACATGTCATTGTTACACTATTGGATCCCAAGCAAACTCTAGGGTTTTGGCCTCTCTTCAGCCTGCCTAAAGTAATTATTCCAGTTCTACTTTGTAATGATTCTAATGAGTAACAATATGCCTGATAGAGTTCATAGAAAATAGTAATGTAGGATATGAGGGTAACGTTAAGAGAAGAGGGAGATCAAAACTAAAATGAGTTGAGATAATATGGAAAAATATGGTAGCATGTGGTTTGATTCATATTATGGCCCTAGATAGAACAAAATGACTAAATAGAATTCATGTAGCCAAATCATGTTTTACTAATTTGCTTAAAAGGAAATGCAAAATATTGTAGTTTCTACATTTTTATGGCTTCACCCACTTGGGAAGGCAATAGGTTCTAAATTAGAGAGTATGAGTTTGGAGATTCAATCAGTTTTTGGTTCCTTCAAAAAGAAAGTCAAATCTTAGTTCTTCACGTGGAGGATGATGCCAATCTTTCCCACGATACCACCATAGAATGGTGCAGGTAGTACAATAGCACTGAAAGGAATCCCTTAAAATTTTGTTAATGCTAAATGGAGTCCTTGATCATCTAAAGCTCAAATTGGAATATGCACATCAGATTTTGATATTAATGCTTAATTACTTGTCTTCTAATTCATCTTGATTAAGGAAGTCACTATGTTTGGATTGAGGAGTTGGAGAAAAGAAGAGGAAAGGTGGAGGGAGAGTTTATTCTGTCAAAGAGAAGGGAAAAGAGAGAAATAGGGTGGAGAGCGTAACCTCTTGAATAATGTTTTGGCTATTCTCTCAAAAGTGGAAGTAGTCGAAGTTCGTCTTGATTAAGGAAGTCACTCTTTAAGATTATATTTGGATTGAAGAGTTGGAGAAAGAAAGAGGAAAGGAGGAGGGAGAGAAATAGTGGGTGGGTGAGGGGCAGCCTAACCTCTTGAATACTGTGGCTGTCCTGTCAAAGTGGAAGGAGTCGGAAGTTTAGAATAGGAGAATTAACAATTGCCCATTTGCCCTGATTCTTTATAACAAGTGAATTGTTGTCTTGTTCTTACCACTCACAAAATAAAACAAAGCTTTGGATTGTTTGGGTTCAGCTCGTCAAAGTCAAAGGGGGTACTCAGGCTCTGCTAGTGTTTCGGGCAAGCTTGGCCTAGTGAAGCTCGAGTTTGGCTCGACAATGTTCCAACAGGCTCGGACTCGGTTCGGCGAGCTCATTATTATTATAAAATCTATATCTTTATATGCACATATATACATACCCAATAATTTGTGTCTTGGCACACACACACACACACACTCACATATATATATATGTATATATATTTACATTATGCAGTGGTAGAAATTGTTGCGGATCTATGCGTATTTCAATCGTCAGCATTTTCGCTCTCCAAATATGCTTGCAATTTCATATGCAAGTATTAGAGAAGTACGAAAGACAATGAGACCAGATGAGTGTGTGTGTGTGAGAGAGAGAGAGAGAGAGAGAGAGAGAGAGAGATAGAGAGGTGATCTTGTGGCCGCTATTAGGATGGAATTTGTCTATGCTGCCAATGATGGAGGTGCATTGCTAATATGCTGGTAGAGAGGGCCGATGGAGGTCCTAACCCTAAACCTCAGGGTCCTGCTTTTGATACTTGGTAGAAAAGAGAGGATAATTGACTTGTGTCTGAATAAATTTTTATATGTTTTTCTTTTAATATGGAAAAGTTCTAGTGTTGAAGGTTACAAATTTTTATCTTGTGGAGTGCAATCTATTGGATAGAATGAGATGAGAAAGGGGAGATGGGATTATCTTTCGATCAGTAACCAGATTTAGAGATAGGAAAATAGTGTCATAAGCCTAATTTTGGAATGTAAAAGAGCATGAGGGTGCTGACTTAGGGAAAGGAAAAGGTTGATGCCATTAAATTAAGGACCCCCTTTGGTAAAATTTTAATAATATGCATCAGTACATAAGTCATGTAGTTTCTGGTTTATCCTTAGATTTTTTTCTTTTTGGTGGTGTTTGACAATAGATTTTATTGCGTCTTTCCATGTGGTGCTGCCTATTTAAATGATAAACATTTCATTTCAGTGCCCCACCTTCCCCCATAATTTTCTCCGTTTGTGAGATGATATTTTACAAGGGACTTTGACAGTAAATCTAATGGCAGGTTGTGGTCAGATATGCATGGAGCCACTTACTTCAACCCCCGTTAACTCACCTTGTGGTTGTGTGTTTCCTATGAAAGTCAGACTTGTTCTGGATGTATCTCTTTATGCTATCTTTCCAGTCGTTAATGAGCTAGAGATTGAGATTGCTACAGCCATATATTTGAAACAAGAACAAGTGGTTATAGTTGGTGCCAGTGCTGATATTCAAAATCAGGGAAAAACTGTGGTAGATATCAACTTGGTTCCTTTAGGGGAGAAATTTGATATTACCACTGCTACACTGACTTATGAGAGATTATGGGAGAAGAAGGTGCCTTTAAATAAAACTGTTTTTGGTAATTATGAGGTGATGTACATTAGTTATCCAGGTACCGACCTTGACTCTTGTTGTGGTTATTCCATTACATGATTATGGTGTTATAATATCTGACTGAGTAGCTTTCATCAGGGCTTCCTTCTTCACCACCAATTGGGAGTTATGCAGGTAGTGGTCCAAGTGGTAGTGCTGGAAATGAGCAATTCCCTATTACTGCAAATGTTGTCAACAAGAGCCAGAAGATGAACCCTAGAATCATTTTTGTCGTTGTTTTGTCTGGTTTAGTTCTATCAGTGGTCTGCTGTGCGGCAGTTTACATCCTCTTGAAATGCAGGAAGATTGGAAGACCATCAAGTGCTGTTGGTCCTATCTTTACATCGTCCATACATAAACGATCCGGTATGTCTGTGAGTTAGTGTTCCAACATGTTAGAAGTGATACTTGAATGCACTTGTGTCAATTGTTCATTCAGTGCTTTGAAAATTTTCTTGCTGAATAATGCTTTATTGGCTTATTTCTGATATGCATCCCTCCTCACCAGTCTGGTAAATTCATGTATGTGTTTGTCTTTTTATTGGGTTCATTTTCTGGACAGAAATAAAGATAACAAGTCACCTGGGCCTTGGCTTAGGTGGTGAAGATGTGTGCACCAGTGCTGATGACATTTCACTAGAACTCCTAACTTTGGCATGTGTTCAGCCAACTTCACTACAATAGTCTCTGAATTCTATCTGATGTCCAGTTAATTATGAATTTAAGCTATGTTGCAGTATTAAGGGAAATTATTCTGCTCTTTATAGAATGGCGCGATTCTAATTCTTTTTGGAAAAGAAAATGTATATCATTGAAAAAAATGCTATGCCACAATGAAAAGAAGAACACAGGTAAATGTTAAGAAAATACTTTAGCGTGACTAAGATGGACAAACCACATACTTCCTCAAGACCATGTTCCAAGTTCCCAACCTCAATAGAAAGAAAACAAAGTATAGAAATCCTCATGTAACTGATTTCCCCCATCTTCTAGATGCTACGGCCAAGAGAAGCGTGCGGGTGACAGTCCTGTTGAAGCTAACATTCATGGCATAACATCAAATTTGGGAAACTTATGCCTTGCAAATAATCTAGAGCATTGTGGCAAGTGGCAGGACACATTTCATTTCATAGGGTCTCATCCCATGTTCAGTTGATCAGCCATCAAAGTTCTGTCTTATTAAAATGTACATTCAAATGGTGGCTTTGTGGCGTTCTCCTTTATTTAAAGGAAAATGCTATACTTAACGAATTTTGATTTGTGATTTTATCTTGAATTAGGTGGCTGCTTATTTGGCTGCTTTATTTGTTTTAAAAACAATCTTTTTAATATAGGAAGGAGAGAAAACCCTAATATAACTTAATAACTTGAATTCAATTCTGATCGTCTTCGTTTGTGAGACCCTTTATATTAAATCTTCAAATAATTAAAAGTAGAAGCTGCAATTTTACCATGAATGAGTGACATCTTTCTAGTGAATAAGCCCCTAATTACATAATTTACTTAAAGCTTTTATAATTGTATTTTGATTTGGTATTTTTTTATTACGGTTAAGTTTTAATGAAATACTCAACAAAGATATAGAGTAGTTGAAAAATATAGAGAGTGCAGAAGAAAATAAATATATAAATATATACACTTGTATATATAATGAAAATTGTTAATAAAGAAAAACAAATTAGAGATACAGAGAGAAACCTAGTGTAATTCTTCGTTATTTCCTTTTTCTTCAATTGACAATTTGATTAGTTTGTTAAAATAGGAAACACAAATACATAAAAGAATAAAGTTTAATATGTATTAAAATATAGGACATTAATGTCTATTTAGCTATCGCCACATCAGATTCAAGATCGCATCTCAAATTTTAATTCGAGATGTGTAGCACTGCTCTTATTTATAAAAAGGTGAACATAGGTGAATTTTGTGGGCTTTGTCTTCTTCGTCTTTTTTTTCCCCCCCTTTCTTTCTTTCTTTCTTTTTTTTAAAAAAAAAAATTTGGGAATAACTCGTCATAAATCTTCTTCTTGCTTGCTCTTTCAGGTTTTTGCTCCTTGGAATTAAATTTGTCTTACAGCTTCTGTGTCCTTGCATAAGGTGGCTGTCTACCCTTTGGGGGTGGAATCCGAAACCCTTCTAAACTGTCCATTTAGGGAATTTTCATTTGGGCATTCCCAGAATTTCCAATTATATTTAATTTTAAGTATTTTTATTTTTCTAAAAAGTTGAAGTAGGCATCTTGCGAGTGAATCAGTTATTTTGTAGAGTTGGTTTCTTGTAAGTACTAGGAATTGTTGCTTAGTGGATTTGGGGGTTGGTTTTGGTCATCAATTCAAGAGCTTGAGTTTATTCACCAACAATCCTCATTAAGCTTGTTGTCCTATTTTTAGAACTCACACTTAAAAGTCATTTTAGTAGGTCAAGTCGCACTTTCATTAGAAATGTTCTTCTATTTGTCTTGCAAGTCATACAGATATATACGCATCACGCAGCAACCTTAGTAACCGTTTGGCATTCTGCAATAAATGTGTCCTTTCTGAGTAGAATAGTCATATTTAAAATACCTAATTCTTGCATATGACCGCCCAAGTAGTTTGTCTGACAGATAGTATACAAGAACTTAACTATATAATGTGCGCACATTGAGCATTAAGACTGTAATTTTTTGTAATGGCTTCAATTGAATTTTTCTCAGAAATCTTTGTCGGGAGATTAAGTTTTATTTGCTAATTAAATCAAGGAGTTCTCATCAATGACATATTTGTTATCTTTGTGATCAATAATATTATTTGTCATTTGCTTTCGAAAAGAATTTGCATTGAGTCCTTCCTTATAAATTTGATGGTAAACACAATTTGATGGTCAAGAGATACCTAAAAATTACAAATTTGATATTTTCGATAAACATCCTATAAGGAAGTAACAATTTTGGAGGAAGTTCAGGGTTTGGATAATATGGAGAAGTGCTTTCAGAGTGTTTTTCATCATAAAGTACTCTCTAAGTTGAGGAAAAGTTCTATAAAACAGTTATGAGGTTAGTTATGCTTTATGGTACAAATCTAAATGTTGTATAACTAAAAAAATTTGTTAAAAAAACAAGTATGGTTGAAATAGAGATGTTGAGATGGATGGGTGGTGGTGTTAAGAAAAAATAGAATTAGAAATGAATGTAGTCATGGAAAGTTAGAAGTGGTCCTAATTGAAGATAAAAGGAGGCAAAGTTGTTTGAGATTCTCTGGCCATGTGCATCATAAACCAATTAATGCACTGATACAGAGTTGTAAATTTTTTGTCGGTGGTTGGCAAAAAACAAGAGGAAGGCAAGAAAGAATGTGAATTGAGGCCATGAGAAAAGGAATTGGTTGTATTGTTTTTAACTGAAGATATGAGTTTTCAGTAAAAAGAACGGAGATGGAGCGACCCTAGATGCTCAGATAGTGTGAATCTATGATGAATAAAAGGAGGGCCGGAGGCAACGTTGTTTGAGATTATCTGACTTGTCAAAAAAAAAAAAAATGTTGTTTGAGATTATCTGGCCACGTGCATTTGATGCACTGATACAGAGTCGTAAATTTCAAGTTGAAGGTGGCAAAAAACAAGAAGAAGGCAAGAAAGAATGTGAATTGAGGCCATGAGAAATGAATTGATAGTCTTGTTTTTAACTGAAGATATGAGTTTTCAGTAAAAAGAACTGAGATGGAGCAACCCTAGATACTTAGATAGTTGTAATTAAAGCTTGTTGGGTTATTATGATGGAATAAAATTATTTGTCTCGTACTGCATCATATTAATCATTACCACTCGTCAACCTATCTATAATCATGTTTTAACTGGACAGGGAATTAATCATTGTACTTGGCGTAATTACATGACCTATTTGCAGAGAACAAAATTAGTTATCATTTTTCATTCCAGTGTTGCTCAATTCCTCTCTGTTACTTGCTTCATATTCACATCGTAAATGCTCTTTTTGTTCATCTTTATTGCGAAAAACTTCATTTTGCCACCCCTACGAAAAACTAGCTGGAGAAACAGGGATTTCTTACATTATAGCGCCAGGCTTTTCGTATTACTGAACTTTAATGGTTGATTTGATGGTTTTGTTTAAACATTTCAACTATCTAAAGTTGTACAGCTCTTGCAAACTCAATCGACTTTGTGTTTATGATGCAGGAATTGGGTCTAACTTTTCAAGTAGCATGGCAAGCTCACCATCTATATCTCTCGTTTCCGCCATGCCTACTTCCATTCTTTCTGTAAAAACATTTACACTTGCAGAGCTTGAGAAGGCTACAGGTAAATTCAGTTCAAGAAAGGTTTTGGGTGAAGGAGGATTTGGACGTGTTTATCTTGGAACCATGGAAGATGGAACTGAAGCTGCTGTTAAATTGCTTACGAGGGATGATCAGAATGGAGACCGTGAATTCATTGCAGAAGTTGAGATGCTAAGTCGATTGCATCATCGTAATCTTGTGAAACTGATTGGTATATGCATTGAAGAAAAGCGACGGTGCTTGGTTTATGAGCTTGTTCCTAATGGCAGTGTTGAGTCCCATTTGCATGGTATAATTATCCCATGCTTTATTTATATTTTATTCCTCTTGTTCATGCCAATTTCCGAAATATTGGTGTCCAGAACACCTCAATCCCATATTTTGAATCACTTTAGTAGTATAGAGCACCTTTCCCATGATGATATCTGAAAAACTCCTCATTCTATAGTGGTGAGGCAGTTCTGATCCTGTATTTTTACTGAAAGTAACATTGCTTAGATATTGCAGATGTCTCAATAATATACTTGTGTTGTTGGTGGTTCAGGTGCAGACAAGATAAAGGGACCTCTTGACTGGGATGCACGGTTGAAGATTGCTCTTGGTGCAGCAAGAGGATTGGCTTATCTTCATGAGGATTCTAATCCTCGTGTAATTCACCGTGATTTCAAGGCCAGTAATATTTTGTTAGAAGATGACTTCACTCCCAAGGTTTCAGATTTTGGGTTGGCGAGGGAAGCAACCGAAGGAAGTCAACATATTTCTACTCGGGTCATGGGAACTTTTGGGTATGTATTCCATGTAAACCTGTTATTTTTGCTAAAATCTTCCAAAGATTTTCATAGTTTCATTTAGTATATTGAATTATTATCACAACACACAAATATTGAATTATTATTACATGTTCAGAATTTTTTGAGCATTGGGACAATTCCGAGATCATGCATGTAGTGTTGAATTATTCCACTCGTTTCATCATGGCAACATATGTTTTTCTTCAAATATAAGTCTGTGTGTTTATATTTTCAATACTTAAGTATAAAAACATAAAATATGTTTTTATGCAAATCAATATTTTGAAATTCTTGCCAAGTTCTATTTTCATTTTTATGGGGTTATATTTTCTCCATGTTCATGTTTCAAGCATTTACCTTTAGGCAAATAAATTCCTGAAATATTCCTGAATTCTGTCTTTTATGAATCTTGTATTTGTTACTAGATCATTGCTTGCACCATTGATTGCCTTTTCTTCATATTTCAACTTTATATTTTAGTATTTAGATCTTTCAATATTTCTTCTGACAGAATGTTATTTTGGATTTTTTGCAGGTATGTTGCTCCCGAATATGCAATGACAGGACATTTACTTGTCAAGAGTGATGTTTACAGCTATGGGGTTGTGCTGTTGGAGCTTCTCTCCGGAAGGAAACCTGTGGACATGTCTCAACCTCCAGGACAAGAAAACCTTGTAACTTGGGCACGTCCTCTCCTGACCAATAGGGAAGGTTTGGAGCAGTTCTTGGATCCAACATTGGGCGGAAAATACGACTTCGATGACATGGCTAAAGTGGCTGCCATTGCTTCGATGTGTGTTCATCCGGAGGTGACTCACAGGCCATTCATGGGGGAAGTTGTGCAGGCACTGAAACTCATATATAATGACGATGAAACTTGTGCAGACTGCTGTAGTCAGAGAGAGTCCTCTGCTGCAGGCTCAGACTTCAAAGGCGATCTTGTCCCTTCTGACAGCAGTTGGTGGAATGCTGGTGGAGCGACACCGCGCTTAACTTATGGGCATGCCTCTCCTTTCATAACAATGGAGTACAGTTCTGGTCCACTCGAAGAAATGGAAAACAGACCGTTTTCTGGTTCAAATTTGATCGGGCCAGGGGTTCCTTTACCTATCGGACATGGGAATAGATCAGGTCCTTTGAGGACAATTCGGAGCAACCCAGCCTTTTATAGATTGAAGGGTAGCATGAGTGAACATGGTGCACTCCTCTCAAGGCCTGGTTGGAATGATGATAATGGATTTGAGGCTTCTTTTTAGAGTACTTGAAAATGTACAGTACCGAAAGACGACGACTATTCAGAGAAGTGGTCTTTTGGTGTAGTGTAGGAATTTCGAATTGCTGCGATTTTAATATTTTGAGAGCGATAAGAGAGACTTCAGCTTCTAATTTTTGCTGTCTTCATTCATTTACAGACAAACTGAGATGTGAGTTAGCAGCAAACTCCGTGTTGTATATGTGCTACTATTATGTTTTTCACAATTGAATGAGTACATGCTTTTAAATAGGAAAATTGTGTTCTAAAGGATTTTGGGGAAGCTGAAGCTTTCAAAAAGTGATTGCTTCTTTTCTGTAGGCATGTACTCACGTAGGTGGGGGATGTGAATCACTTTTGTGACAGCTCCGGTGATAAAAGAGGTGTGTCCTTCCCGGTCCTCTCGTACTAGGGAAAGGTCCTCTCAATGATCGAACGCTCACACCGGATATGGACCGAACTGTCTCATTGCGTTCTGAACTTAGCTCACGTACCGCTTTAATGGGCATAGCCCAACTCTTGGAACATACTACAGTCCCGCGTGGTGAAGAGTCGACATCTTTGGGTGCCAAACCTTCCCATCGATGTGAGCTGTTGGAGAATATCAGTCCGTCGTTCTTAGAGTTACTTTTAAACGTTGAGCAAGGGCCCAGCACTTTGCAATTAGGTTTTTTATTTTTATTTTATCTGTTATACTCACAAACCCTAACAAAGTAATAGAAAATGAAAGGCATGAAAGAAATATATATATATATATATATATATATATATATATATATATATATATTATTACAACTTTGCCAAACGGTCCTTAGTTATTGGAAATATAAAATTTTAATACCTTAGAAGTTTTGTTAGAAGGAAAATAAAATTATTGAGGGAAAATTACTTTTCACAACCACCTAACTTTTCCCCAAAAGAACAAAAGAAAATTTTAATTTCTGGAAAAAATTTCATTAAATTTTTTTTAGACAAAAAATACACTCACTTTTACTCATATGGAATCTTAAACCCTCAACTTTGTAAGATAAGAGGTACCACTTCGCTTTCACATTCCACTTTTGAAACATGCAGGTGTGAAAATTAACCATAAAAGTAAAAGAAAATGAAAATGAAATGAATAAAAAGAAAACAATACAATTGCATTATATATATATATATATTTAGAACGATATGAAAAATTACTATGAACATGAAACTTACAACAAAAATAAAAAATAATAATAAAAAGGATATTATTGTAAATTTATAAATTATTCTCATCAAATCAAAATTTTCTATGTTTTTTTATTTTTATAAGAAGTTGGCTAATTATGAAAAATTATTCTCTCACATTTATTTTTTATTATTATTATTTTTTTATAATTTTTGTCTGTATTTCCAAGTTCTCTGTCATCCCAACCAATCAGTAACATTTGCACCCAATCCTCTCTCTCAGACACACACATTGAAACCGGTGGACACGCGCCAGTGAGTTTCGAAAAAATGGCGACACTGTACTCACTTCAGAGCGCCAACCTTCTTCTTAATTCTCCATTCTCTCTCTCTTCTTCTTCTTCTTCTTCTTCTTCACGCTCCACTTTCTCTCTCTTCGCTTCCACATCCAGGTCTCAATTCTCTATCTACAACTATTGTCCGCTTCTTTGCTTACGTCATTCGTTTCCTCATCCCTTTTATTTATATAATTCTTTACAATATATACACACACAAACACACACCTATGTATACTTAAATTAATTATGGTATAAACTTAACAATCTACTGTTTCTTGAGAAATTTCAGGCCCAATATGTCGTCTCAGGCTTCCATTGAATCCACGCCGTGTCTTCCTCCTCTGCCTGATAATCGCATCGTGGTGCGTTCCCCTCTCTCTCTACATATATATCTTTCTCTCTCTCTCTCTCAAACTATTTGATGCATGCGTTTATTGATTTTGGAGCAATATGAGATTCGGATTTGATGTTTTGAAATTTTTGGGCGCATGTTAGCATGATACTCAATTTGTATGTAACGCTTCGGGTGTGCAATTGGGATTGAGTTTTTCATTAGTTTTAAGCTAATTTTGCTTTGATTTGGATTCAAAGGCACGGTTTTATGCTATCAAAGGCAGTTTATATAAATTGTTTATTACATGTATATTTTGTGTGATATATCTGATGAATTGGAGGCGTATGTTAGCAGCTGGGTGTTGGTGCTGTGGTGGTGGACATCTTGGCGGCCGTGGCTGCTTATCCTAAGCCGGATGACAAGATCCGAAGCACGAGCTTGAAGGTACTCTCAACCAAGGATGGTCTGCTCTATTGTGCGCTTTTGTTACAAATATGTACTTCAATAGAAACCTGCATTTTCAATCTTCAAACTTGATTTTTGACGGTATCTTCAATGTTACTCACTTCCTAAATAGCCAGTGATTTAAATTGTAAAGACTCACATGCTACTTCGGAACTTAAATGGGTTCAATTTGGCTGATGCATTAGACTTTTTCACTACAAGGACGCTATTTCTGTTGCTTATGTTTGCGAGTTTGTGTATGTATATAAGTTTCATTTTGGGTGTGGGCTGCTATGATGAGATTTGGTTGGGGTTTACTTAACCATATTGATCAGGTCTGAGGGCTCGAGTTCACTTGGTCTTCAATCAAGCTCTTGAGCATCTACACAATATATTTGCCTTGCTTTGGAGCATGGAATGAAAACTTACCATTTGTGGTGTGTCATACATCTGAGTGTCATTGACTAAGACTCTAGGTGTGATTAAATTCTTTTCAACCTTTAAACTCCACATTTCTAAGTTGTTCCTTCGTCTCTAACATTAAGTTATTCATTGTTTGTTGGAGATTGAAGATCCTATATCAAAATTGGTACCAAAGTAAGCCAACACCATCATCTCATAGCTAAAAATATCTTGATGGAGATGAACTGATTTTCATTACGACAGCTAACATTTCATTTGGTGGACCAATTCAATATTCTAAAGAGTGAATCTATTATGAGGGTACTCTTAACTGTGAGGTCGCTCCACTCAGACGTTGTATTACAAGTCATCCTCACAGCCTTTATAATACTTGTTCAGAAGATATCATAATGAAAATTTCTCTGGCAATAGGCAACTCAACGATCAATAAATGAAGGGAATATTCTAAAAACAACAATAACGAGGAGAAAAGACAAAAAGAATAATATGGCAACAAGAGGAGAATCAGCCGATCGGGTCCTAAGATTGAAAGTTAGGTGCAACAGTGTCTACAAGTGCCACAACCCCTTTCTTTGACTAGAATTGGAACTTTCTTGTGTTCAGGTCTGTTAACAACCATCTACTGTAAAAGCTTAAGCTGTTAGAGAGGGTATAATTTAAATATTTAAATCCTTCAACGCTCCCCCTCACTTGGGGCCTTCTTTTGGTCCAACATGTGTTTCAATTTTTAATCATCAGGATGCCGGTGTGGTTTGAACACGGGACCTTGCTTGCTCTGATACCATGATAGCCACCATTTACTCTAGAAGCTTAAACTGTTAGAGATGGTGTAACATAAATATTTAAATCCTTCAACAAGATCTGACCTTTAAAAATTGATTCTTCCTGATTGAGTAGTACTTTATTTACATGATATGTAGAGTTAGAGACGAGTCCTGTTTGCGAAAATGAAGCTGGTGGGCCTAAAAACATATTATGTGTCAGATGATATGAGTTAATAAAGTACACCCTCTCTAATAGCTAAAGTTTTTGCAGTGGATAATTGTTCATTTGCTATTGCGTGGTATCAAATCTGGCATAGTCTAGATTTTATCGCCGCCTTATAATTATAATTGATGCATATTTTGGCTCAGTCATGATGAAGAATGGCCACACATGAGGAGACATGTTAGAGGCTAAAATGAATAAAGTTACACCCTCTTTAGCAATTTAAGCTTTTGGATTAGATGGATGTTAATGTGATTCACAATTATTGGGGGTGGCATGGAAAAGGGAATATGTTAATTATGTGGTCAAAATTTATCTAATCACTTCTTTTCCCTGTATTTTTTTTATAATTAATGCACTTGGAACTTATGTCCCAATTGGAACTGAATCCTGCTTCTTCAAATTGAGAAAATATGAAAAAAATTGAGAATTATTGGAGCAATATTTAGTTGAGGGGAGCCTAACCCCAAGGGTGGTTTTACAGTAAGATTTCCACCATAATGTTACTCTAGGTTACACACAATTTCCAAATTATTTGCTCTTATGGGGACTCAAACCCTCACATTCCACTTTGGGAGGTAAACGAGATACCACTAGGCTACAGACTAAAGCCTTCGATTCATTTTGTTTTGAAACAATAACGAATGTAGTGGGCCACATCAACAATTTTTATATTATTGGAATTTGTTCATCTACCATTCCTTTCCATTGAATTTGAAAAATTCTAGTGATTGGTGACTTGATGATTCAATATGGGTGTCGCGTACTTAGATTCATTTTCATCATCTGCATTGCCGTTTACCATTAATATTTGAGCAACTAGTTAACTAATTTTTGAACCATATTTCTTGATGCAAGTGGTATAACAGATTATGGATATGTTAACAATTTTAGTTATATTGACAGATTATTGTTTCATAGGTTCAAGGAGGTGGCAATGCTGGAAATGCTTTAACTTGTGCAGCTCGTTTGGGCTTAAATCCAAGGCTGATTTCCAAGGTCTTTAATTTTGCTGCTTATCTATTCTCGCGCCTATAATACCGAATCACAACATGCTAATCTATTGTTCTGTATTTATTAAAGTATGCTTCCACCATTATCATTAACTATTAGACCCATTAGAGCATGAATTGTTTTTCAAAATGATATAATTTGACTGCAATATTTTCTTAAATCATTTGAGATGTCGTTTTGAGTATATAATATTAACTAAAATTGTAACTTTTGGTATTCTGTGGATATTGAATGACATCATTTCAATTGAACTCGGAACTTATCGTTCAAACAATATCATGAATCTATCTGGCATCATTTAACAATAACAATAAGATGGCAAAATGTGGCGGTCATTTTACTTTCAAGGTTGTTGTTTTGCTTATTGGTTACTACGACTGGCACATCTGGCACGATTTTAAAGTGATGATAATTGTCCCAAAGGTTTGCAAGCGTGTTGTATTTTCTGATTTGTAATTTAGCATTTAATGTTATTTTGATAGATTCTTTATATATATATGTGCAGATTACATAAGAAATCTTAATCACAAATTGAGGAAATGGGGATCCTTGTTAGTCTTTAACATGGAAGGCCTTGGCCCACAAATTAACTAAAACTCTTTCGTATTTTTATTTTTCTCTTTTAGGCAATAAGGTTCCATAAAAGCTTTATATGTGTACACAAATTATATGTTAGGTTGCTGATGATGCACAAGGGAGAGGAATACTGGAGGAACTAGAAGCTGATGGTGTAGACACTTCTTTTCTTGTGGTAAGCTGAACATACTTTGTTAAAGGCTTAAAGCATTTATTTATGCGGATTTGATTGTTTTTACTCGAATGAACTTCAATCAATCTTTACCCATTCTTAAGTACTGCATTGCCAATAATTGGTTTGCTGACTACATGGTTCAGATGCTGTGTTGTTTAAGAATTTAAAACTCATAATTATTTCTCCCTTAATATACAATTTGAAAAAGAACTTATTGTTCTATTATTAAGTATTGCATTGCCAATTGTTGGTTTGCTGACTAAATGGTTCAGATGCTGTGTTGTTTAAGAATTTAAAACTCATAATTATTTTTCCCTTCACATACAATTTGAAAACGACTTATTGCTCTATTATGTATGTTATAGCATGTGGTCCACATGCACCTAATCTACTGGTGCTTCACTCATCGAATCAGTATTTACTGGGTAACATATACATAATTGATACTTTTTTTTGTGATAAGTAACATATACATAATTGATACTTTGGCCAAGTATTTACATTTGACGCATCTATGTTTTCAAATACTTTAAAAACAAGACTCAAAATAAGGTTATACAATTGTTGTCTTCTTGATGGGATAAGGCAACTTAGCATGATCAACATGTGTACTCCACTTTAGATTATGCTAGAAAGTACTTCTCACTCTTGCAAAAGATGTAATTGTTTGCACTAGGCTATTTACCTTGCATATGGTGATTGTGTTTTGAATGGCATCGCTTGAAACTTGTCAAAAGGGTACTCTTTCTATTTTAAAATATTTTCTGCACCTGAAAGAATGAAATGCTTCATGGAACTAAGTTTATGATTCAATTGGAAAGACATAATTACTTACTCTTTTTTGTTGGTAATTGTTTAAGTTTTTTCTCTACCATAATTACAAGTTCTCTGATCTATGACGGAAGCAGATGAATTCTATCCTCATTAATGAAGATGAGAAGTTCTTAAAAACCAAAAAAGGGGCACTATATCTTTTGTAATTGATGTGGGATTAACAAGATAAAAGCTACATCTCGCCAGTAACCAGGATCTATATTCAAGGCAACAAATTTTATTACTTCTTTTATGGATCAATGTATGCTTTTCTTGGTTATTTTTCTTTCTTCTTGATTAAATCCTGCTCATCTTTGACCACTTTTCCCTAATCATTCTCAAGTCTCAACATTCCTTCTCAAGGCCAAAGATACCCCTCCTCTTTGCATAGTTCTGTAGTTACTGTTGTATTGCATATTTGAATATGTATGAAACCTCAAGCAAGTACACGTTATCAAAATTCAGTACCTCCTACAGAATTTTTTGAGTAAGAAAACACCTCAATTCTCTATGTTGCTACATTGTTTTTCCATAATGGGGTGCTTGAAGTACTTATTATAATTTCATAACTTTATGTGTATATTCTTATTTTCTCCTTTCTTGACTCGATTCATTTTGTTTCCAGGTTTCAAAGGAGGGAAATTCGCCTTTTACCTATGTCATTGTTGACAATCAAATGTGAGGGTCTTTTGCTTATCCTGTTTCCCCTTGGGTGATTGCGATCAAAACATAGATATAATCTAATAAGTATTGTTTTTCATTAAATCTATAATTGAATTATTATTTTGTAGATGTGATGACAATTTTAAAAACTGATCATAGTGTGAAGTTGGTCAAGTATAACCCACTGTCTAGTGGTTCGGGACAAATTTTATGATTTACCTGTATTTGTTTTATGGCTTCCTTGTATGACGTTTACTTTTTCTTTTTCCCAAAAGGTATTATGATGTATACCTTGATGTCTTTGTGGTGGTCCTAGTGGAAAGCTCCATAAGATTTTAGTTGTAATTTTGATTTGAAACTAATGTAGTGTACTTTATCTACTTTGGTTTCTGATTTTCATTAATACTTAAAACCGAGTTTCGAGATCCTACTTGCAATTATGTTTTGAAACTAATGTAATTCACTTCAACTACTACTTTTTCTTATTCTTCTTCTTTTTTTGTCCCTGAGTTTTTTCTGATAGTAGCTTGTGGACTTGTGAGAGCTTGTTTCTTTTTTTTCTTTTTATTTTTTCCCCCCTTTTTTTGGGTGGTGGTTGTCAGTCGTCTTTTATCATTGAAAGAACAATGAAACAGGAAAAGAATCAAATGAACAGAGATCATCTTTCCTTTCTTGTACAAAAAAAAAGTGTCTTCTCTATTGGTTGATTTCCTACATATTTCTGCTCCGCACAAAGCAATTTGATGGGCAAAGAGCAACTTTATTATATTATTTTATGATTTGTAACATATGACATTTGAAAATTTCATGAAAGAGTTTGTATTATATATTTTTGTAAATGTTAATGGTCTTCAGAAGGTATTTAAGGAACTAGCTGAAAAATAGGATTTTTCCACTTCCTTCTTCATAATCATCATTAATATTAGTACATATACAACACTCAAAATCTATCTTTTAATATAATTCTCAAACATACAGATCTGCTTTTTATGTTCCATATGTTGGAGAATAAATCATGTATGCATTTCAGGAAAACTCGCACTTGTATTCACACTCCAGGATCCCCTCCTATGATACCTTCTGAGCTTTCCATCTCAAATTTGATATCAGCCTTGGACAGAGCACAACTCGTCTATTTTGATGTAAGGTTGCCTGAAACGGCTTTAGTAGTTGCACAGGAGGTAATTGTCATTTGATTTTTTCTTTAGGGACTAGATAGATTTGTTCTTAAATTGGTTAAGCCACCTATGGTTGACAAACTAAACTGAATCCAATACTTTGCCACTGTGCTGACAAGGCATAATAATAATCCATATCAACACATTGCATATTGTCAAACTATGCATAAATATATAAGCTGAGCTAGGGTGTGACCTGGGGTACTGTGATGCTTCACAATTTTCACCTGAATGTGCTAATTAAGTACCTTTGCTTTAGTTGAAGTATATGGTACCAAAGGTCATACTGGCAACCACCTGCCTTTTGTAAGTGAAGACATTGCACTTCTTTCCTCCATAAAAAATCATATATTCATTTATACTCTCTCTATCTCTTTGCATCCAAAATTCTGGCACTTCTTGATTTCTCAGTACTCAACTTTTTGTAGCTAACATTGTCATTTTACTTCTTTTCATCATTGTCCTGCATGTTACCATGACATAAATATGATGCAAGCGTAATATCTCATACTAGCAATTACATCCTTGAATATAAAAGCAATATGGACAAAATGGTAGTAAACAGTATCTCTTCAATTCTTCCAGTACAGGCAAAACGCAAGAGTATACCTATTTTAGTGGATGCAGAAAAGAAAAGGGAAGGGTTGGACGATCTTCTAAATTTTTCAGACTATGTTGTATGCTCGGAAAAATTTCCACAGGTAAGCTATCTTTCTGATTATATACTGTCAATGTTTTTCTTTTAATTTGTTATAATTCATAAGTTCCAAAGATCCACCTCACTTTAACAGAAAAAGTGTTTTATGACCAAAAAAAAATGTAGATTGTGTATTAAAGAAAATTAACTGAAAAACAAGGTTGACACCTTCTTTACTAGAGTTTATTGGTTCACATTGAGGTGAATACCATCAAATTTATGCTTCTTTTTTGCTTGTGTTCCTCATTTTTTGCTTGTATCTTTAAATTGTTGTTTTAATGCTTTTAATGAAGATGAGAACTCAATGAGATACATGGCATACCACTATAGATTAATACCAGTACAGTATATGCTGCTTTTCTATGTTCTTCCTTGTTAATTTATTAACCTAATGAGATTGAGGTTTCACCCTTCAAAAAAAGCCTCAATTACTATTGTACTGTTTTTGGCAGGACGATTATTGGCACTCTAACTGAGAGGTTTTTCAATCATGAATAACACGGAACATTAAAGCATTTTGAAGTATTTTTTTTTCGAAAATTACTTCAAATTGTGTTAATGTTCCATATTATTCATGATTGAAAAACCTCTCATTTACACAATTTGAAGTATAGTTCACGAACTTTATTTGTAAAAAATTAAAATAGGGATGTGAATAATAAAGTTTAGTTGGGAACATACTAACGATGTGGTTATTCGCTATCATCAAGTAGTTTAGTTTTATGTATTTATTATTGACCCATGCATATTCTAATCTTAATATTTTACCAAACAATCCTTTAGTTGTAGTCTCCAGCAGAGTTATTTTTGCACTATTGTGGCAAGAATTAGAAAAATAGTAAAGGAACTGATTTTTTGGTTGGAAGTGCAGCAAGCAAATGAACAAACAACTTAACAAGTAGAAAAGAATCAGGTAGTGAGAGCACATGGTCCAATCAATGACAATTATGCAAACTATTGTAGTCTACCAACATCACATCATCTCTCCCCTAAGAGGCAGTGGGTGTGGTTGGAGGAAATAAAGCCTTGTGGTTTGGGGGATGATCTTTGAGTGCATCTTGCAGCGAAGAAAAATAAGCATGGGGCTTTTAGTAAAATTGCATGTTAATATATCTTCGTATTATGTTCAGCCCCATTCACAGTTGGTGAAGACTTTGTGCAATAGTGGATATGTTTGTTTGACTACAAATTTTATGGAACGTGAAACTAATTTTTGGATCTTCCATATTCTGGCACTGCAAGATGTCATCCATCCTTCAAACTGCAAACATTTTGTGTTGAAGTTCCCTGTGCATGACTAATATAGTTATTATGTAGTCAGAGAAACATTTTTTTCTTGTAGTTTCATGTTCATTTTGATAATTTAAATTGACTAGTATAGCCACTACATTTGCTGCTTAATTCCGGATTTTTAGATAATGAATATAAGAGACATGTTTGTGCACTTGTTGTCTGTCAGGCATGGACTGAAGCGCCATCTGTTCCGAGTGCACTTATTTCCATGCTTTTGAAGTTGCCAAATATTAAATTTGTGATTGTGACCTTAGGCGAAGATGGCTGCATAATGCTTGAGAGAAGTGTAACTGGTCTGTATACAATTCCCAATTATTATTTTGATTTTTTAAATTTCAAAAGAAAATGGAAGAATGGACAAAAACTAGAAAATCTTGGTCTATTTATTTTCTTTAATAATCATAGCTTTTCATTGGAGCGTACCTTTAGCAGAGATTGATCAGTCTGAAGAAATGGATGTAGATAGTTTATTAGAATCGCTGAAGCAGAGAATGGACAATAGCAAATCCATGCCAGCATGCATTTCATCGGTAATTCCCCTTCTGCCTGACAGATTCACTAGCTGTGTTATCCACAAGCTTATTTCTCTATTCCATGTGTGTTGTATAATATGTATGGACATATACTCTTTGGGGAAGATTATCTCAGGCTTTTAGCACTTTGCATCTGTGGTAGTCAAAATGAATCGCTGTTGATGTGTTGGTTACCTAGACCTAATTACCTTATCTAATCTTCTGTGGACCGAAAAAAACAACTGAATTTTGAATCTTTAATTATAGGACTGGTACTGACTGGCAACTTTCTTTCATTTCCAAGCCTTGCTTTGAGAATTTGACATAATCAAAGTCTCTCAACACTTGTTCCTGTTTAGAACTGGATTATTGTAGGAAATCAGCGTATGGTTATTTTAAACAGAACAGAGAAGATTTTACTAAGGTGGTTGGTTTGATCACCTCAAAATCATAATGATTGTTGCAATACAGTTTTACATATGTTGGATGCCAATCAATATGAATTTCAAAGCAAGAAATTTTTGTTTAGGTTTGATTTGGATTTTTTGATTTTGCTTTATTTCTACTTAAATCCTTGTAGACGGTGACAAAATTGCGAGGAGATGGGGTTGGAACTGTGAGTGGGAGATTATTAGTTGGAACGGCTGAGAAGATACCAGCCTCAGAACTTATTGATACAACAGGTGCTGGAGATGCATTTATTGGGGCCGTTCTGTATGGTATGTGAAACCATTCATAGCCTGCTGTCCATTTCTATTGCCTGGGTGGTTTAGCTCCTTTGCAAATCAGTTATTTACTTGTTCAACTTCTACTTTTTCATGTCTTTGGAATGGGAGATTATTGTTGCATGTTATTGAAGAGAATGTTATATTCTTTTGGAAATCATAGCAAGCTTGTAGATGTCATTGACAATCACCGGAGCAACATTTTCTTTTTTTACATTTAATCCAACCTTAAGAGATTTCTGGGCTCTTATCTTTCTAGACTCGTAATTGGCCTCTGACTTGGAAAGGATATTAGTTCAGTTAAAGCCACTTCAACCTCAGGTCAATACCTGTGACTAAACGATTTATTTTAGAAATTCTCAGAATTGGTTGAAATCCAAGCAAATGAGGAATGATCATTTAGGTCACTCAATGTACTTGGCCAATCCAGGTTTTGAAATTTTGATTGGCGCCAGAGTTGAATTTCAACCGCCCAAGCATACTATATAGTGTCACAAATCCAGATCAAAAGCTTTTTTAAGCGTAGTGGTGAAGAAAACTTTGGTGTTGCATATCAAATGTGCTTGTTTCAGTTTTTTAGGAAAATTGTAATTGGTTTCGCACCTGGATATAGCAGAGAATTCACATCACCATACCATTAATTATCTACCGCAGGTAGTTTTCCTTTTACTTCTCTACTCTTTCCTCTCCATTTTTTCCCTCCCTTTTCTGTTAGCAATTATGCTTTAGTTTAGCTATCCCATCATTTTCTTCTTATTTTTTTTTTTTTTTTTTTTATAAGTGCCCATCATTTTTTTAGTTGCAAGTATAGTTTGCCATCCACATTGTGTAGCATCTTGTCACCTATATTAGTTCTTCCACCATTACATGTAAATTATACCTACAATCACTTGTCATGATACCCACAGCAGTTTTTTTTTTTTTTTTTTGTCTGAATTTATGGTTCATGTTTTGTATGATACATTTTTGTGGCTGGTTCCATTGATGTGATCCGTACTCACTCTTGTTCTGCATTTTTTTTGTAGCTATTTGTGCCGACATGCCACCAGAAAAAATGTTGCCGTTGGCTGCTCAAGTGGTTAGTAAGCTTGTTTATGCTACTAAGTAACAAATTTACTTAAGAAAGAGGCTTGAAAAGGTGCAATACAAAACTGTTGATGACCTTGTCTGTGTGGGATGATTGCAGGCAGCTGCTAGCTGTAGAGCTCTGGGAGCCCGAACTGGTCTTCCTCGTCGCACTGATCCTCGCCTGGCTTCCTTTTTACATTAAAGTTCCCAAACGACAGCCACTCAACTGGTGCGGTGAGCAAGAAACGTGGCATTTCCTTTAAGTCGAGCCTTTTGATCTCCATTGTCTGCATTAGTGTTTTCTGGACTTCTACTCTATATTTCTTTTGTCGTGAAAATGATTTGGCAATTGTGAGCAACAGACGGTTCAATAAGTGGCGGTGAAAATGCCAAGTTTTATAATCGAGGACAGAAAATGGGGCACTTTTTAACCTCTTCATTTTTGTATGAATGTACCAAAAAAAGGGATAATATGTCATTTCTCCTGCAATGATTTGTTTATTCACCTAGGCAAAAACTCAATGACACTTGACTCTGGTTTTTTTTTTTTTCTTTTTTTTTTTTTTTTTTAAGATTCACTTTTGAAAAAGTTTTAAGTTCTATAACACAAATTATCCAGATTGGGAAATGAGAATGAAATAGAACACAGATTTCTATCTGAAATCAGATAAATGGATCTATATAAGCAAAAACTAACGAATTTTGAATGATGATGTTCCCAAATTAATGTACAACACTATGTGTTTGTGTGTGTGTGTATGTAAAGGACTAAGCCAACTAAAACTAGAAAAACATCCGATTGTATCCATGCATACTAAGATGGAGAAACTGAGAAACATAAAAGTACATTAAGCCAGAGAATAGGTAAATATGATATAGATACAAATCGACAAAAAGACTGGCCAACAATATGAAGAAGACAGCAATTAAAAACCCCAAACTAACCCTCCTCCTACATATAAATATCTGACTCATGTCTACAACATGCTATCAGCTTTTGTGGGCAGCCTCTTGAAGAAACTCACAGGTGGAGAAGGCAACTTGCTCCTGAACCTGGGTGGCCTCAGAAAATACAACCCCCACAGAGCCACCACCCACCTAATTGGCACCAAATAGAACCCAAATGCGGCAAACAAGCAAAGGATCACATATATGAATGTGGCTCTTGGGTCACGCCAGCTTAGCAATGCTTGGAACCTTTCACCTTGAGTCGCCATGTCCCCCACCACCGTCTGAACCCTCCCGGCCACGCTTCTCAGCCGGTCATACCTCATCCGGACAGTGTCTGCACTTCGACTCGTGGGGAACGAGTCAAATTCCTCGTCCAATTCGTCCGGCTGAACACCGTCGGCGTAGGACAGCCGAGTGTCCATGTGAGGTGGGTGCCGGGGGCGTGACCTATACCGCCAAATCCCCACCAATGCCATAGACAGCAATACAAAAGGGATTATGAACTCCGGGACTAACACAAGCACAATGAAGACAATGACAAACAAGGTTGAGTACACTGGCTTATGCCAATTGCGCATAGCCTCCACCAAACGGCCAGTGGCAACTACACCAGCTAGCACATTCATGAGCCTAAAGAAGTTGGCCTTGCTCTTCCTCATGCTCCACATATGTGAGTCATGATCAAGCATGTACTCCACCACTTCTCGCCCCAACGGTGGCTCTGCCCGGCTTAGCCGGGAAGCCACCACATTCATGGCCTGGTACCTCAGGCTGTCTAGTTGGTTCACTGATAAAGGATGCACATAATGCATCTTTGGTAGTAAAGGCATAGCATACATATGCAGCATGTTAACCATGTTAGCACACGAAAACCGGACCGCCAAGTGAAGCTCCCCCATTTTCTTCACCCCTGAAGGGTGTAACATGAGGAGGGGATATGAGTGAGTGTAAACCCTATCTGATTCAAGGGTGGACAGCCTGATTCTGACTTTGCCAACGCGAGAGTCCCGGGCTCCGGCCACACTGGCTGTGTTATTATCAACACGGCTATTGTCAAACACCCCAATTGTAATGACTGTGCAGGGATCAAAAACCTCCCATGTGTACTGCTCGTTCCATTTCGGCGACAAGCTGTCCACCACAGTGCGCGTTCGCACCCATTTCTGGCCATACTTGGCGACACAATAGGCGTCTGTGGTGCCTCCTTTGCCTTCTTTAAGCTTCATTGGCATGAGATTGGTTGCACCCAAAATGCCCATTTCAAGCACCCCAATGTGGGGCTTCCAGAGCTGTTTCGCAGTTGGCCTAACATCGCTGCTATACATTGTGGCCTCATCGAGCACATGGTAGCCTCCTTCGAGGGAGGCCCTGAGATGAACCCGAGACCCGAATCTCACCACAGCCTTGGATTCAGAACCATTGTTGAGGCCAATGTCAAGGTTGAACCACCTAGAATTCCCCTGCTTTCCGTCTAGTCGCCTTTCTATCGCGGTCACCGGAATCAAAACCCTCCCTAAAACCTCATCACGGTTCGGGGCAATACGATCCTCAACCGAGACCAACAAGTAATCCTCAAATGGCTCTGCAACCACAAATACCAAATCCTCATTCCAAATGGGGTTTGACAGGCTCCGGTTTGGCGTTGCCGGAGCAGTTCTGGTTCTCAAAACCTGGTTTCCGACCTGGGCTTTCCCCGAAAGCTCGGGGTATCGCATCATCGCTGAACCCTTCTCCCCCATGACGATGTCTTGAGCTTCAATGATGGAAACTCTCAAGTACCATAGCTTTGGGGATAAATAGACCTTGGACTTGATAGAACAGAGACCATCCAAATGCACATTGGCTGCCTTCGAATGCCATGCTTCGGCAAAGGCCTCGTCGGCCTGAGTTCCGAACCACACCGACACCATGGCTTCGCCGCCTTTCGCCTTGTCGCCTTTTTTGTCCTCCATTCTATACCACTGTGGCGCCAATTGACTGTCCGGTGGAACCCTTTTGGGGACTTCACTCAAATCGAACCAAACACGGCCTAAAAACTCTTCCTTGTCCTTCTCTTTCACCAAAATTTCCACCACTGATGACTGAATAGAGTCTTTAGAGAAAGCAAACACATTGTCCCATTCGGCATGATTGGAGCTAACCACCTTCGAAATTCCTCTGTAATTTCCAAGTTTTACCTCTGCAATCACTTCATTTCCACCAAACACAGGAATTTCACGAGCCTTCATAACCCTAACATACAGATACTGCATTTGCTCAACAAGGTCATAGGTTGAGCTGGTTTTGTCCTTGCTCAGAGGACCACCACCCAGATGAGGACTCGTCTCTTTAAGCGAAAACTCGCTCGACCCATTTGAGTAGACACCAAACCCACCACCGTGGCCGCCTCCACCGCCGGTGGCGCCGCCGTTGACGGCGGAGATGGCCGGATTGTGCCCTGTTGTGACCACAACAGGCTTCATATCACCTGGGTTCGAATCTATAGGCTTTGAATGCTGTTGGATTTGGTGGGTTTGCTTGTTTTCTTGCCCCAACTGTTGCTGAACCGCCATAGTCGTCCCTTGCTGCAATTTCTTGTTCTTCTTCGAAAAAGCCGAGGAAGACGAGCCAGAGACCAACCCACCACCGCCGCCGCCGCCGCCATTGATGACTTCTTTAACTTGCTCTCTCGTAGATAGATACAGCTTCAAGATAATCTCTCCTCGGATGTGAGAAAACAAGCTTCTTTTGTCCAGGGTGTAGGATTGTGGCTGCTCTTCGCCTTGTCTGGCAATGCTGGACCCTGAAACCCTAACTTTACCCAGAAAGTTCCGGCTGTTGTTCGACCTCTTCTCGTTGAAGACGTTCACTTCTATGGTTCTGTACGGAAGATCGGCGACGTCTTTGACATGGAAGACGAGCTTTTCGTTCCAAACTGGGTTGAGGTCCTTGTACTTGACCTGGGTTCTGAGTCTCTGGTTCTCGAACTCAACCTCTACAAATGGTGAAGACGAGCCCTCGCCGTCTTTGGGCATCAAGTTGTGCGCTCCGACCACCTCCACCACCAGCTTTTCTTTGTTGTTGTTGTTCATTTTTGGTCTTTCTCTCTCTACAGAAAAACAGAGAGAGAGAGATATGGGTTTGGAGAGGTTTTAAAGAGAGAATGGCGTGACTTAAGAGAACTTTAAAACAGGGGAGTTGATAGGAGACAACAGAGCATGTTATGAGGTTTTAGAGAGAGAAACAGCAGGGAGTGTAGATAGAGAAGATAGGGATTGAGAAGCAGGTTTGAGAGAGAAAGAAGATATGGATTGAGATGTAACTTAAAATAGGTGTCCAGAGAAAGAGACAGCAGAGGGAGTGTGTGTGTGTGACTGTGTGAGAGAGAGAATTCATATACTACGTATTTCGTTCTGTTTGGATTGAGTAAGAAGAGGGAAGCACACAGTTCATATTTCCATGTATGTTTTGGCGCGTCTAGCCACGCCCCAATCTAAATGCGAGGTCCAACTTGGCATATTGTTTAAAAGAAGTGACCAACTCATAAATTTATTTTAGAGAAAAAAAACCATAAATGATGATGATAAAGGTAAATTTATTTTTTGAACCAAATAATAAATGTCATAAATATTGATGGTTGAAAATCTTATTTAATAGATTTTAAATGTTCTTAAATAATTATTATTTTTCAAATGTGAATCCCCATTTACTTAAAAATATTAATAAATTTATATTTTATTTTTTAGTATTAGCATTTTACATTATTAGTGTGTCACTAGTTGATTTTAGAGAGTATAAATGTATTATAAACGAAAGTTTTGTTTGCCTCACAAAAAATTGGGTTGAAAAAGGTTTGATTTAATTTTAAAATAGTTAACATTACACACTGCTCTTAAGTAAAATTGAATTGATTCACATCAACCATATGCACTTACGTAACGGATGAGCGTGTATCCATTTTATCCAAAAATTAAAGTCATTTGGTAATGTTGCATATCCATTCATTTATACATATTCATTTTTTCATTCAGATTCGATGTGGGACAAAATTCCACTGATAACATTTTCTCCCACCTGAACTCGCAACAGCTTTATTGGGTGCTTGAACCACCCTGCCTACCTAGGGTGAAAGCTCGGACGCCCTTTGAGCCGGGCAATTGGCATGACACCGGATCAAAGATTAAGTCTGCTTTTGATACCAACTGTAATGAATAGGCGCTTGCTTATTTACCCAAAAGCTTAAACTATTGGATAGTGTTACGTACCGACTGATTTATACCCATTCATTTTCCCATTCAGATCCAATGTAGGACAAGCTCCCACTTGTAACAACTATGGTGTACAAGACGGACCGAGTTAAAAGGATATTATTTGAATCCTTTAAAATACTTGTAAACATATGCAACTTGTATAACTACAATCAAACCTTTTTCCAATTATTTGAGATTAGTTACGTTAATCACATGTTTTCGTTAAACAGTGCATGTCATAAAGAAAGTAATTAAATATCATACTACGGAAACTAATTACCGAGATTTAATAATAAAAAACCTTGAACTATTGGGGTATTGCAACTATCCCCTGAACTACAAAAAAATCCTACAAAACTATGAATTTGTTGCAATTTAGTCCATAACCAAAGATTTCGGTACGTGAAAAGCCAAAAGACTATTGTACCCTTATTAAAACGACACAGTTTAAGGCAAAGGAAATCTTCACTTGATGATGTGAAAAGGGCAGTCTAAAGGACCAATGAAAAGTGAACAAGAGAACAATTATGATAAGGTATCAGATATATCCCCTCAACCACACAATCGATCCAACCCAGTGGCGCCATTTTCTGTCTTCATCAACAGCTAGCAGTTGCAGAGCTCTGCAACTCCTCTCTTGCTAAAGCGTGACTAAAAACCTTAACACCTCTCTTGCTACAAGTGTGCAAGCCTATATGAATAATTCTCTTACCCTAAATAATTGATTAAAACAATTTCTGAGTTGAGTTTGTAGATGATTTAAGATGATTTCTTTATTAGTTTAACCATTGTTGTTGTTTTCTTAGTTTTCATAAAGCATGTATTCATTTTGAAAGGATTCGAGTCAAAAGATGATATATATATATATATATATATATATATATATATATATCAACCCACACCCTTCTACTGCACTTAAAATATAGCCTCCCAGGATTATCTGCGAACTCATAAATTAATACAGAAGCTCTCTGGCCACACCAACACCTCTTATTCATGATTGGAAACACAGCATTGTCCATTATGAAGACCTTCAAAAAATTATTACAGATTATGAAAAAAAAAATTACGAGAACTATATGTACACGATCTCTATTTATGTGGTTATACTCGTCTATATATATATATAAACTTACACCCGCATAGACTTAAATAGAGAGAGAGGATTACCGGCACTATAGTCGATTAAGATCTAAAAGTCACAGAGAGGAGTAGACCACGACAAATAGAGAGAGAGTGATTAATTGACCACGAACTGATGGCGCGAGAGATAGAGGATTCACCACGAACTGATAATCATATGGATTGAAAGGTATGAGGAATCAATTTAGGGGTTTTCTGAAATCAGGCTAGGGTGTTAACAGTTGGGTGTATATAGGGTGTGATAAGGTGTGTTTGGCTGCAACGATCATAACAAGGGCAAATTGGTCCTTTCATATTTGTAAGGGCATTATTGTCCATTAAAATAAATTCCTATATCACGTGACACACACATGCTAAAATTAAAGTCCTTTTTGGCCGGATTATTGCCGGAGGGGGCAATCTGTAACAAATTTGACTAATTTAGGAGGTTTTATGCATTATTTGTAGTTCGGGGATTGTTTGCATGTTTACCAATAGTTTTTTGCATTTTACCCAAAAAAAATATTTGCAAAAATAACATGTTTTATGAGTTCACAGCAAAGCTAAATGCGTTAAAAAATATTAAACCCAAATCATTTGAAACTTAATTTTTTTAATATTTTAACTAAATGGTGTGGGACTCGCCAATAGGTGAGCCCAGACAAGGCCCACACAAAAATAAATAATTAAAAAAAAAAAAATTGCAAACTCACCATTGGCAACAAAAAGGACGACCCCACTTTGACACTATAAAAAGTGGGTTTGGACTGGCCAAAAATATGAAGAGCCTATAGCCTGCACCATACCTGATGTGCTTATAATTGGGAGGAGAAGATATTAGGTGCATTCAGCACATCATGTACTTGACTCATTTAAGTCGTAAATGTTGTGTTTGCAAACAAATGTTTTGCGCATATAACTCAGATGGGCCCGGTGTTAAGGTTCTATTCCATTGGGGAGACTAAATAAATATCAGTATATTACATTTTTTTTGTTTTTGGTGGCCACAAAAAAAAAAAAAAAAATCAATTTCTTAATAGTAGCATAAAAGGGAAAATATTTACCCAAAAAAAAGAGAAAAAACATAAAAGGGAAAGTGTTCCACACACTCAGGCACTGCGCGTGGCTGAAGGTCAAAATTGGAATAACCGAAGCAATGAGCGTGGCAGAATCTGCAGGGAATCCGATAATATTTGGTAGAGAGAGAAAACGAAGTCTCGTGGTCCGAGGTTGAAGAAGAAGAGTGTAGCTTGTGCTTTGTCTTTTTAATATTATTTTTTTTAATTTTTTGTTTTGAGAATGTTTGCCATTCGCACAATCGAGGCGCGTGAAACACGGCCCCCAGCCTTGTCTTGGTTTTTGCTGTCTCGTGGGACCCGCATTTTCTGTACTTGAAATGTATGACACACTTGTCTTGTCACGTAGTACGACTATGTAGTGGGGACCCACTGGCTTTTAAAGTTCTTCACATTCTCTCAAGCGCGTGGGGTTTTATAAGTCCATGCGTATGGTTTGAATGAATGGGACATTGGCTTTGAATATGTATAGTCTCAAACTTTAGGTAATGTTCGGCTAAATGACCAAATTGTCCTCTACCTCAATGGGACAGAGTCTTGGAGGGGAAGGTTGGAAGTTTGAATCAACGTTACGAATAATAAATGTGTATTTATTTTAATATTTACGTATTTATAAAGTAAATTATATAAAGTTTAAACAAATTAAACACGAGTAAATTTTTGTCTTCCTTAAATCTTTTTGGAAAAATAATTTAGAGTGTAAAAAGTCAAAAGATGCACATATTTCAAATGTCAAGAGAGGTTAAAATAATATCGCTAAACTTCTATCCGTAAATAATTTAATCAAATTTAAAGAATTATGTAACTAATATGAGAATTTGAAATTTATGATAGAAGTAATTAAAAGGGATATGAGTAATAATTAAAGGGTGAGAGAGACTAGCTAGGATTAATCCCTAGTAATAATAAAAAAGTAATATTTAGATGGTAGAAACATATAATTTAGACTTTAGATAGTGAAAAGAAAATTAATTTAAATAGAAGGCATATAATTTAGACTTTAGATAGTGAAAAGAAAATTAATTTAAATAGAAGGCAAGAGACAGAGAGTCTAATCAAAACCTAAGTCACATAATTCGCTCAAACCACTGGCGCTCCATCACTCCGCGCGCGAATTGGCGTTTTAAAAGCGAATTCGCCAAAAATTCACGCACTCGTGTTTTTGAATTCACGAATCCATAATTTTGAATTCACGAATTCAATTTAAGAATTCGCTAGTTTTTAAAGTTCAATTCGACGAATTGTATAAGGTAAAATCGCGTATTTTGTTCAAGAATTCGATGACTTTTGACAATAAATTCACGAATTTAGTGTGAATCTTGAGAAATTCGATTTTACCCCAAACTTAAATAGACCAAATAAGGTTAATTATATCAAAAAGGAATCAATTTAATTTAATTAAGTAAACTCTATCTTTTATAGGTAAAAATTAAATAATATATCAATGTACTTAATATTTAATAATACTTATTTATTAGTAAAGAAATAAATGAATGAATAACTTTTCATACTCTGATTATGATTTCTCTTGGGTTCGTGATTCTTGAACTTCTTTCGCTAGTTTTCGACTCTTTATTGACTCTTATAGTCTTATTCTCATTCCATCATTTCATATTCTCTCTACTATTTCATATACTTTTCATATGCTTTTGAACATTGCTATTTTAAAGACAATGATTGTCATCTTGAGAGTTTAAAGTAGGTTAAATATATAAAAAATAATGTTTTTTAACATTGTTTTTTCTATTATGCCTTTTTTGTAAAGCAGCTTGTTTGATTGTCATATTTGTTAATTTATGCATTTTTATAAAGTAGGTTATATCGGTTGTAATGGACTCATATTTGATTCACTATTTTATCTTTTTATTTGCATGAAATTTATTTAAAACATATATTTACTATTATAAATTAATATTTTATATATTTATAATGCGGCGCTTTAGCGACGCTCTCGCTCTAAGATTTTTTGGGATATGCCGCTCTCGCGCTCCCGCTCCCGCTCTATGTGACTTAGATCAAAACTAACATAAAATGACATGATTAGAAAAGTATCTAATAAACTCCCACTATAAAAGTGAAACATTAATTCACTCCAATATACTATATATTTGGTTGCATCACTCACTCCAATATACTATGTTCGGTTGCATCACTAAATAAGTCATCACTAATAAGTCAGTGATCTAGCGATATTAAGTCCCTATTTTTTAAAGAGAGGTCAACTAGAAAAAAAAAATTGAATTTTGAAATTAGAATTAGAAAAAATTTAGTTTAAATTTTAAATTATTTTTTTCCCGATTTTAATATAAATTTCAAAATATCAATTCTATGCAACCGAAAATAACATAATACTTCATTTGTCCCATATTACACTAGGGGCCAGTAATTAATGTATTGTCCCTTAAGAAATTATCAAATTATCTTTTTAAATTTAAATAGGTATAATATCAAATCGGGAACTTCTAAAATTCTAAAGGGTAAATTTGAAAAAATAAATTTTATTTGCTTTAAATTTTGAGACAATTAATATGGTGGAAGGGAGTACGCTTTTTTATGCATTCGATATGGGAATCACTCCCGAAGGTATAAATGTGGGTTCACTCTCTCATTTTTATTGTTGTTTCTTATTGTTCAATTTTATTTTATTTTATTTTATGATAACCTAATAAATGCCTAAGAAATTAATTTGTACCAATCACATTTATGGCCAGCGTGGTGTTTTATGCAGACTTATAATTACAAATATTAATGTATTATATAGTTGAAAGATTACACATTTGAGGTGTTGAGACTTGAGACTGATAAATTAATAGATGATTTTGTACCATTTATATATTTGGTAAATCAATTAAATTTATATTTTTTCGATTAAAAAAATAATAATATATTAATATATTATAATAAAAAAATTAACAGCAATTTAAATTGAATTGATCGACAAAATGTCAAATAGTCCAAGACTATTTAATAATTTATCGTTAAAAATAACTAGTGAATTTAATGCAAATTAATCAATAGATAATAATAAACATAATATAACCTACATGTAGAATCTTATTTACAAATTTTATATAGTTTTTTTTATTTATTCTTATTTGTTCTGACCGCTCATATCTAGTCATAATGAAATTTTCATAACTCTTTGTATTTATCCCTCTTATTCACGGACGTTCTAAAAATTCATATGGGGGGAAGAATTTATATAAGGGTTTTTTTATATATGTAATTTTAGTGGAGGCAATTTTAAAATTTTATGGGCATAAATGCAAAAAAGTACAAATTTAAGAATGTAAAAAATTTCAGTGGGGGCGGATGCCCCCACCGAGCTCATAGTAGATCTGTGCCTGCTCTTAACTTTATAGGACTTTTAATCCAAAAAATGAAAGAACTATGAACATCAACTTTTACGTTTAGGGTAATTTGCACTCACATTCCCTCTGGGTTGCAATAAAGATAGGTAAATACTACTTTGAGAGAATGTAATTCAATTGTCCCCCAAATTTGCAAACTTGAACAATAACACTCACAACCATGATAAGAGTGTCTAATTGCTTTTTGTATTTATATATCTTAACTTTACTGGACTTTCAATCCAAGAAATGAAACTTTTATTTTAATTCACAATATACATGGGTAAAGTGCATAAAACACTCTAAAGTATGTTTATAGTGCATCCTCACGTGCAAAAAATACCCTTAAAATTTCAATTTGGTGCAAATAAATTCCTCTGACAAATTTAAATCACAAATTGACTAAATTACCCTTACTGAACTATTTTATTAAATATATAAAAATAAATAATTTTGTAAAATGACCGAAAATGACACTATTAGATGATGCCTCTCACGTGCAAAAAAACACCCCTAAAGTTTCAATCTGGTGCAAATAGGTCCCTCTAATAAATTTAAACCCTAAGTTGAATAAATTACCCTTACTGAACCATTTCATAAAATATATAAAAATAAATAATTTTATAAAATGATCGAAAATGGCACTATTGGAGGACGCCAGTAATGGACAAGTAAAGATAAAAATATAAAATAAAAAGAAAAATATAAAAGAAAAATAAAGATAAAAATAAAAAATAAAGTGCAAAATGAATAAAACAAATCTGCTCCAAACTCCGAAAACCAATGCACACTGATA